CTGTGGAACGCCGTCTATCGGAACTACACAGTCGATATAAAGTCACTGTGGAACGCCGTCTATCGGAACTACACAGTCGATATAAAGTCACTGTGGAACGCCGTCTATCGGAACTACACAGTCGATATAAAGTCACTGTGGAACGCCGTCTATCGGAACTATACAGTCGATATAAAGTCACTGTGGAAGGCCGTCTATCGGAACTACACAGTCGATATAAAGTCACCGTGGAAGGCCGTGTATCGGAACTACATTTTGATATTATTTAGCTTTGCGTAGGTAGTGTGATGCCACCAAAAATTGATCGGTTTTTGAAATGGTATGTAACAACCCTTTCCGGTGCAAAATATTTATACACTCGGTTTATTTAAATGTGTTATGGAGGATTTCCTTTGTGTTAAATGGCATTGGACAACAAAGGAATATGGATCGACTTGAGCCACTAAACCTGTAACAAGTCGTACCCCAACCATAGTATGCAAAGTGAGGTGATGAGAGTCCACGAAGACAAAGGTTAGTAGGAAAAGATGTTCACATGCCCCAGGTAACAGTACCCAACATAATTAAGAATGATCTCCGACTGAAAACGAGGCTAACAGGGTATGGGTTCACCAAGATAAGGTTTTCAGTAATACTTCAAGCAGCTGAAGAATGAAACGGGTATTCATGCTATTACATACGAAAACATACTGGTAGAGCCACCAGATACAGTACCTTATAGATTTCTGTGCTATCAGAATATTGAAACAGGCGCTGTAAAACTATTGTCTTCGTACATTAAGTGAAATATGGAAAAATCACAGGGAGGGAGTGGTGTGCTCTAGATATAACAGCTTCACGACAAAGTGGAAACTAGGGTTTATTATTCAGTTATATATAAAATTAATCACACGAGACATCAAAATATACTAGAGTTTTTAGAAGTTTAAATTATATTTTTTAAACTTTGAAAATATATTATTGTGAAGTAAAAAACGTTGATGTATCGTGTGATTAATGCTAATTATTTTTTTTTTTGCACAAGAACTGTCTGTTTTAGGTATTTATTATTCTATTGATTGTTATTTACATATCGCCAGAAATTGAGAAACTACAAATGCAGTAACGTAAATTAGAACACTGCATACACCCATAGAGTTTTTTTTTTATTTAATGTGAGACTGGAATATAAATTAGAAAAGGAATAATATATTATTTTGAATTAATAAACAAAAGTATTGGTAAATTTAAAAAAATGAGGTGCAATGTTGTTGTTTTCTTCAAGTACAGGATTCAAGTCTTCATGACCACCATGTTTATCAGTAAATACTATCACTTGTACGAAATAATCACTTATCCTGACCAAGGATGATAAAAAGTTGCTCGTCGGCAATGTTGTTGTTGTTGTTTTCTTCAAGTACAGGATTCAAGTCTTCATGACCACCATGTTTATCAGTAAATACTATCACTTGTACGAAATAATCACTTATCCTGACCAAGGATGATAAAAAGTTGCTCGTCGGCAATGTTGAGAACTTTCATTTATACAGTTGATCATATATGCAATTTATGAGAGGTACCAATCGTTCGAAGAAAAACTTAATATATTGGAGTAAATGGGCATCCATATTTCTATCAGGCACTGTAATCATTATTTAAATTATAAGACGTGTCGTATATAACTGCAGCATCAAGTACGCTATTTGGAGAAGAACTGGCTCATTAAAGTTCATGTCACAATGTGTTCTGTTACACGAAGTGAAATGGTTAACTAGCATGTGATTTTAATAAAAAAAATGCAACTTTCACATTTAACATTATATTTTTGGAAACTTCCAGATTTACAAAGCTAAGATAATATGGCGCAACATCAGGTAACGAAAAATATTTTGTGTGATTCCCAGGATAAATAATACATTTTATTATCCTTTCGTTCTATTAAGGCGCATAACAGACGATTAATGTTGCAATTTGTACTAGCGTAACGGTAGTGAAACGTGCGCATGCCATGAATCACGAAAAGAATTATGCTCTCTGTAGGCTACTACACGGCATGACATGTGAACTTCAAAACCAATAGAAAAATATTTGTTACTCTTAATTTTGGCTTTATTTACTTTTGAAACAGAACACTTTCGGGGAACTTGCGGAAGTACATCTAGTATAGCTAACTACTTTAACCATATAAACAATGTAACACTCTCAATACATATCATTAATTACAAATTATGAAATTGCACTAAATCAGAATGCTACAAAATATATTTTCCATGTGCTTGAATTTTGACTTTCCTTCGTAGGAAATTTATGCATTGGATAGATTTTCTAGAAACAGTTTCGTGGTTGCGTAATAATCTTTTGTTGTACTTAGAAGTTTATCACTGCTTTTACTAATTGCTATATTTACTTAATCGTTCAACACTTGCCCTCTGCTACGATAGTGAAGTGTACCATCTCTAGTATAATTAAGATGTGTTTCAAAGTTCAATTGTATCAGAAGATAGTCAGGTTATCCAACTTTGACGTGTTTTAGTATTCTGTCCTGTAATGGAGATGGAAAACTACCGTGTTTATTTTAAATGTCGGGGTGTAACGCTGCAGAACCTAAATGCTATAGAATAGCGAAGAAATACCATTATCCCTCCTTCTTGAACCCAAAGAAAAATATATACTTCTTGTAAAATGTGTCTGTGACAAAGTGATGTATTACTTGAAGTTATTTTATT